CAGGTGGTAGCAGGAAGCTATTGAAGGGTAAATATCCAGAAGGGTAAATACTCGCTCGTGGATCGGAATTCTGGAACTGTCTTTTTCATTATGAGATTTTGCGTGATCTTCAAAAAGAATTTAAAAAGCAAGATAAGGAAGAGATACGGTATGCACGCATGTAATGTTACAGCGAATGAAGAAGGATGAATAAGCAACGTGAGAGTATACGTCGGATAGCTTTATCGATGTCAAACACAGATGAGAGCAAACGTAATCACAAGCAGGTAATACGTGAGTCGGAAGTTATTCCCGTATGTTGTAACTCGGTCTTCAATCATTCCGATATTTTTTTTGGTCAGAAATATGATCAATGGGGAATACCGAGACAAGGCTGAGTGGTCTAGTGGTATGATTCTCGCTTAGGGTGCGAGAGGTCCCGGGATCAATCCCCGGCTCAGCCCCATCCTTTTACTGTGAAAAATCAAAATTATTACAGTTACTATAGATAATCATAGATGCCAACAAGGATGTATGTGATAAAATGTATTTGCTAAAATAATTTCATTCTTAGGAAAACGAAAATTTCCCTTGGAATTCAGGAGAGCATAATTTGTGAGGAAATTAAGGTAATTAAAAGACAGTTTTTTTGCAAATTTATTTCATCTTTCTCTGAGACTTTTTTTTTTTGCTTAGACCCCTTTCAATTTTACAATGCGTAATTCTGTAAAAATCCCATTTCGTTGCTAATCTTCATATCTAGCATAAATCATTAAGAATTCAAATTTGATTAATATTTATTACCTGTGACAAATCAAAAAGCAATAATAGAATACAAATGTCTTCTTGAAGAATTATAAAATTTGTAGGTAATTTGATATCGTTGGAGCATAAGGTGCTAATGAAAATGTCAAAAAAATTGAATGAAACTTAGCAATCCAATTGTAATTCATTCCAGTTAATATTAGTTCTTACAGACTTATTCCAATTAAGTTAATATTAGTTATCATTCAATTAATTTTTTCCTCCTTTTATTCATTCATTTTCAGACCTCTTACAAAAATTTTTACCAGAATGCCAACCTGAATTAGTGAAATGATAGCTAAAATAGTACTCTTGCATAAGAGAAATATCTTTTTGGAAAGAAATCTTACATAAGAGAAACATCTTTTTAACGTAGAGATTTCACATTTAGCAGTTATTTTGATGAAAAAATTCGATATCAAAGAACAAACATTATAAGCAAAGCACAAAACTTAACTTTTTTAACTTCCAAAATAAACAAAAAATTGTAAGATCAATGTATGAAAGAGAAATTTCCCATCTTTTGAATAATTTATCAATGATTTTATGTTTTTCATTCGCTCGTACATCTTTGACGCAATAAAGATAACTCAATTGTTATTGTGACATTTAAAATCAGCCTTAGCACGCTTATTTAATTTCTCAATATTTCTTTTTTTTTCTAAAAATATGGTGGAACAAAAAAAAGTCCTGAAATGATTTTTTTCTTCAGATTTCATCATGGGATATGCTTTATGCATCAAATTCTAAATTACTTTATATATCAAATTCAATTCCTGAATCGAATTCCAAATCCACAAATTCAAATTCTAAATTTTAAATTATTTATATATCAAATTCTAAATTTTGGTAGACAGTTCTTCAATACTGTATTCTACCTACAAATAGTAGTACTACGGTAGTAGAAAACACCATTCATAACATGCTTAGAATGATATGCTCAGGATGACATGCTTTCAGTGATGTTTACAAGCTATGAATCCCAAAATTTTGGTTGAAGCAATTAAAATATATTGAAATTCTGGTCATAATCTTATCAGACCATTTAGTTTGTGAATGATTTCGGTTATCTGCTCTAAACGTTCACGATATCGGCCCTGTTCTTCTATGCGGTTAACGAAATCACCTGCTGTCAACTGAAACTGAGTAAAACTGCAAAGATCAAAAAATGCAGGAGTATTTTCATAGTTGGAGACTATCATTTGTCTGGTTGAATAATCGAAGAAACATAAGCCTATCAAATTTGAAAACCACTTTCAGAACAAATCTCTCAACTCTAAACATATCAGTCTCTGTTCTCAACCAATTAGTTTAATAAAACTATTTCTATCCCATCTGCAAATGAAAAATGTAAAAGCATAAAAAAGTAGAAAAAGTGATGATCGAAATAAGCAGATTAGTTTTACCTCTGTTTTGAACACCTTTAAACAGTGTAAAGCTAGCTGAATCAATACGGTTCAACCGCGGTACCTTCGTCGTGTCACGTTTTCTAGATGACCCCTGTAATTTCATTTGATATCTATATTACAGTCCATTTATACAGAAAGTTGTGCTGCCATGTAATATTTTTAAAAATTTGCAGAATTTTTGTTTGGAAAGTAGTCATACTTTTGCTAATCGTTTTTGACCGGATGGCTTTTCAGAACATTTCGGTTTTGAATTTTGACCAAGTTTCGAATGTAATTCTATTAAGTTTGCATCTTCAGCTTTCGATGATTGTGAATCTTCGTCCATCCATTTCAATCTCTGCTTATTTTGTAACCTGCGAAAAATGACAATTACAATCAGTATGTAAATTAATAAAAAAGAGAAAATAAAAATAGTGTCGTTTCATCAACGTTACATATATTATGTGTACTGAAACAATCCAAGTATCTTAATACATACCTTAGAACTTGTTTCGTCAAAATTTCCGGATCTCTGCCCAAAACATTTGCCAAATTAGAAGCACTAATACTGTGGCCAAGTAATGTGAAACGCTGTAGACGATCTTGCCACAAAAATGTTTCTTTCACACAAAAATTCAATAAACTACACTTGTCCTGACAAGAGAATTAGATATTAAAAGAGAAAAATTTAACAAGAAGAAATTTTAGCTTTTCAAATAAATAACTGAAAATAGAATATATATGATTGAAGAAGTCAAAAATTCCAGTAATTAGCCCATTTACTCAAAAAAATAATAATAATATTCAGTGATTATAAAATGAAAAACTGATACCCTTCATCTATCAATGAGAAGAGAGGACAATATTTTTGAATAAATAAGTGCGATTTCTTGATAAATACTATCAATGAAAAAAATGAGAATCAATTAAATGAAAAACAAAAACCTCAATTAAATTCAATCTATCCAATGGACTATTGAAAGCAAGCCTTTCTTGAAAATCCAAACGTTGAATCATTGGCAGTAAACCGTCACTGTAATAGTACTAACCGTTAATAGTGATATTACCTGAGTGAGTAATGAATTTCATTTGTCGAATGAAAAAAAGTTAATCCAACCTATCATCAATATTCTGAGCCCAATATTCTACAATTTCAGGTATGACATTAAATGGTAACATCGGTAATACATCGTTACATAGTTGTAGACCTTTGATATGATCCGCTTGTACATAGTCAACAGTTCCTTCAACTGCCAAGAAATTGCAGATATTCTGAAATGTGACCAATAAATTGTATTAATCATCATAAACAATCCTTCCACAATTACCACTAGAACTTGTGGTACTGCTTAAGTAATAAATTGAGTATATTTTGGTTCCTATGCGAATTCATTAAATTTTGTACTGAATTTATTAAAGTTACTATGGATTAAACATCAAATTGTGGCATTAAGATGACATTAAAAGTTTGATGTTCGCTTATTATATTAGGATGCTTGGTGCTTGTTTGATATACATATATCCATACCGTTTCATAGCCTGCAGAACAAAGCGCACAAATACTACCTGTTGATTGTACTCTGATTGTTCCCGTATAATGAAGCGCACACAAGCTAAACAATAAATTGGTACATCAGTTTAATTCATTAAACGTAAAAAAAGAAAAGAAAAAAAGTTGAAGATATCAAAATTTCGTAACAAAAAGTAAGGACTGCCTAAAAAAAAACAAATAAACATACCCTTCGTCCATACAAATTATAGAATCCACATAATCAATGTTAATTTCGATTGCATCAGAATCACATGGTACAATGATAACATTACATAATTGATCCTATAAGACATAAGAATATTCTTTGTGAAAAATCAGCATAATGTTGCTAGGCTTTAAATTAAAAAATGTATTGGGAATAAATGAAGGAACAAGTCTATACCTTCATCGAATTTTCCGAAATTTCTATTTGGTGATCATTTTCTGGAATAAAAATAAACCGCAAGAGTAATAAATAAATAATTAAATAAATAAATGAATGAATGCTAAATAAGAATGGACCACGAAAAGAAGATTGATAAAAAAGAATGTGGATTGAAAAAGGAAGAGAAGAGGTAATATAGTAAGTAAGGAAGTGATAACATTTTATCAATATGAATCTTTTTAAAAAAATGAGCAAAAGTAGTACTTTTAAAGAGGAAGAAAGCAAATCTAGATTCTCTGCTAGAAAGTTGAGCTTTAATTGACAGAAGAAGACTGTCAACAAATAATGGATCCCGCTTTCGACATAGCACTATTACTGTTGACTTCTGGCCAGCTGGAAATATTAAAAAAAACTCTCGTAATTTATTGGGTAGTAATAATTGAAAGCTTCTCATCGAAAGAGAATAAAAATTGTTAATGAGAAGAGACATAAAATCACCATAATATGCACAAGTTTCCATCAATAATGTAACCAGCATGTCCAATTTGTGGCATTCCAAATTATCAAATCTCGGCGGAATACAGGCTTTTCTTAAAATATCACTTGATTGAATGATTTCAACAATCGTTGTACTTTGGCTAGATAATGCTGAAAAAAGTATTTATGTATCGATAACTTCATAGCTTCCATTATAGCAGTTTGCATAATTGCAAAGCCATTATTCTGGTAATGATTATTTTTAAAATCACTAACCTTGAAGAGTATTTCTGAAAGCAGTTAAACCATCACACATCAGAATATCATATGCTGATAGAAGTTCAAAAAAATCACAATAAATTTCCGCTAAATGGCTTCGTCCATTTTGTACTTTCTTTTGTAAATAACTTGTTGAAAAATTTGCAATTTTTTTTATGTCATTTGTAGGAAATATGCCACTTTCGCATAGTAACGATGCAATGGGTTCCATTACCTAAAGATAACGATAGTAAAATAAGAAAAAAAAAAAAAAAGAGAGAAATTGAAGGTCATTGAAAATAAATTCTTCCTAAATGTTACTTTCTACCTAATAAAACTTTCATTTTTATTCTTTTAAGAAAATTCTTCAAATGAATGATCTATCATGTTTCTTTCTCCAGCTTGTGTTATTTCAAAAAACATAAATCTTTTTTTGGCTAAGAGTTGCAATTTTTTTCCTTACGAAATAGTGTGGATAATTATTGTGATCCATTCTCAAATTAGTGTAACCATTAAATCGCTAAATAATACACGATAAACGGTGTTATGCGAACAGTGGTTAATTTAAAATGGTTAATTTAAAAACAATGATTAATTTAAAAACAATGATTAATTCCTTTTTTGAAAAAAAAAATGGTTAGTTGAAACAGTGATTAATTTATCAATAATTTCTTAAAAGAATTAACAAAAAGAGAAGGAAATACTTTCAGTAATTCTTTGCCAATATGACGTATATCTTCATTGATAGTTATGTAAAATTTAGATATCCTCGGTGAAGCGAAAACTAACGAAATCTCCTCTCTTATTGAGCTTAATGATCGAATTAAATCAATTTGAAGATTCATCACAATTAATTGTAATTGGCCAACTTTATCCACTTTGCAATCCGTATAAGCCAAAACACGAAACTTTGCCTTGAAAAAAAAAAATCTCACTTCAAAATAAAATTAAAAAATTAAGTAAACAATGAAAAACAAAGGATATTTATAGAGCATCACATTACATTTTCGTCTCTATTCAATCAGAATTATATGATATATCATGAATACAAAATTTCTGCTGTTAAATTCAATCATTTAAACTTACTTTTTGAAGGATACAATTACGAATTAGTTCAGATAAAGGATTGGAACCAGAAATAGCACGATGAGCATCTTCCACAATCATTAAGCAAATTTTTGAAAGCTCTTCTCTACCCGTAAAATCAGCAACAAGAACCTACAATTGAAAGTAGAAGATTATTTAAAATTCAATTAAATTTATGCAATAAACAAAAAAAAAAGGTACATATACTTTTCAGAAGGTAATTAAATTGAAAAATTTAAAATTTAATATATATACTTTTCAGAAGGTAATTGAAT